AACTATTATACCAATCAAAAGTCTAATTAAAAAATAAATTGTCTGTAATTTGTGTTTTACAAATACGAATTTTAAAAATGATTTATTGATTTGTATGCATACTTATGAGTGGGTGTGTGCAATGAGTGTGGAGGCCTGCAGAAGTCTGAAGACGGCATCAAATGCCCTGGAGTTGGAATTATAGGTGGTTATGAGCTGCTGCCCAGTGTGGGTTATGGGATCCAAACTCAGATCCTCCAAAAGGTCAGCAAGTGCTCTTGACTGTTGAACCGCGGCTTTGGCCCTAAATGAGACTTTTGATGAGTCTGGTCTCTTTGAAAAGGAAGAATCTCCTGGCAATGTTGATATGTCCAATGTATGTAAGAAGTGCCAGAGGAATGAGTGGTTTTTTAATGAGCATTTACTATCCTAATAAGCCTCACTATTGTTTCTCTATACATTACAAGGCAATGCAGCTGAGAAAGGAGGGAAACAACTGGTGGTAGAAAGGAAAGAAGCACGATTCACCTTCAGTCTCTCTTAGAGGCAGAGGCAGTCACAGGAGAGTATGAATGAATGGGCTCTGCAAACCATCACAATGAAGAGTGTGGGAACTGAGCCCACGGGGGAATATGGGAACTGGGGAAATCTTCAGCAGCTGACACCGTGCTATCTGCCTTCCTCATTTGTGTGCTTTCTGAGTCAGCATTAGCTAAATGTTCCAGAAAGCCATCCACAAAGTACAGCCAGGGCGTTCAAGGGATGTCACTCATTTCCTCTAGTGATTTTGACAAATCAGGAGCTTGAAGGCAGGGAAATCCTCCACATATTTCCAGAACTCTTCATCCAGCCTGGTGACTGAGCATCTGTCTCGCTTACAGCTGTGGCCAGCTGCAGTGCTCCTGAGGGGCTGCACGATGCTCAAGCACATTAGCCTGACGCTGCTCCTCGCCTCTACTTGGACCACTAGGCTCCTGGTCCAAGGTGCCATCTCAGTGCAAGGTAGGTGTTTTACCAGGTTTCTAAAGTGAGGGTGGACAAGGTCTTGGGAGCTAAGCCCACTCTGCTCTTGACAGTGGACTGTTGGTATTGGGGGAGACTCTTGAGGTCACAGAAGATGCTATGGGTCTTATTGCTCAGCTAGAGATGTTTTCACTATATTGTCAGCATCATCAAAATGACTTACATTTACCTTTACATCACTTGGGATTTTATTTTGGGTTATGGAATATTTTTAATAATGATAGTTTGAAATAAAAAATGAGAAGTCATTTGTTTTCAAAGGGTTTCATTTAAGAGGTAAGCCAGGGTTGTGACTATTTAAAGCAATCTCTAAGCCCGAGTAAGAATGGGTAACTTATTAAATATCACCCACTTTATACTACTCTGTAATTGTTTTAATCACAAGGCTATTCTGCCACTAATGGAATACAAGATTTTAATTTGCAGTAAATTTAATATGTAGAAAATCACTGAAAACACAGTTTAAATGTTTGCCATCAGCAGCTATGAATGAGGGGTCTGTGGAATCTGTGTTTGTAGGACACGTACATGGAAACCTCTTTCTGCATAGTAGGAAAAACACTGAAACCACAAATCACTGCTTCCAGTCCTGGGCAAGGAAAGTAACAGGGCTGTTAAGGAGAAACTGTAGTGCTGAAGACGCCCCGAGACAGGAGCAATATCAAGAGCAGATAGATGTCCAGTGTTGGTGGATATATTGCTGGACTTGACTTTTTTTCCTTCTTTTTTTTTCTGTTTTGATTTTTCAAGACAGGATTTCTCTGTGTAGTTTTTGGTGCCTGTCCTGGAACTCGCTCTGTAGACCAGACTGGCTTCGAACTCACAGAGATCCACCTGGCTCTGCCTCCTGAGTGCTGGGATTAAAGGTGTGCTCCACCACTGCCTGTATGAACTTGACTTTTATAAGAGGTTAGAGTTAGATGATTGGTTCCCCACTACCAAATACCAGAATTGTCATGTTCAGATAAACCTGCGTCTTCTTAGAAATCCCATCCATCAGGAGACCATTCACATTTCCCCCTGCAATGCTGCCATTCTGCAAGTTATTTTGGAGTCTTTTTTTTTTAAGACAGGGTCTCTTATAGCCCAGGCTAACCCCAAATTCACTATGTATCTGAGAATGACCTTGAACTCCTGATCCTTTCTGCCTTCGCCTTGTGGATGTTGGAATTACAGGTGTGTAGCACCATGTCCAGTCTTAGCAATGAGGAGTGAACCGAAGGCACTGTGCATGCTAGCCGAGCTCTCCCGACTGAGCCACATCCCTAGACCTTAGAAACCATTCTTTGACAATGACTTGACCTATTTGCTTCGTCCTCACTAATGGCAATTTTTCTAAGGAAAATTAAACTCTTGGAAAGAGGAGAAAGTTAGCTGGCTACCAGCAGAAGGTCCTACTGGCCTCTGTGATGATGTGGTGAGTGGGCACAGACAGGACTTCTTAAAGGATGTGTTACTGAGAGATGCAGAATCAAGTATATAGAGTTTCTTTGATTCCTCTCAATAAAACATTTTCTATATGAAAAAAAGGCATTAGCACGGCCAAGGGCTTTGTCTGATGCCATGCAGGTGGTAAATACTAACGCTTGGTGTTGACTCCACCCTAAATGATTCCCAAGAACATATTGTTCCTTGTTAGAATTTCTAAATGAAACTGGAAAGCATGAAGTTTCTATACTTGATTGCCTCCTGTAGATCCAAGCTTTGCTAGGTACATATTACCTAGTTTAATTCCAAACATCAGGCCTGACAAGGTATAAGTTCACAGATAAAAGCATTGACTTGTCCCCAAGATCCCAATATCCAATTAACAGTGGGAGAGGCAAGGAGTGCTTTGCACAGGCTTGGGAATTTGAAATGGACTTTCATAGATAAAGCCCAGCAGGTAGGGGTGTGTGTGTGTGTGTGTGTCTGTCTGTCTGTCTGTCTGTGTGACAAGAAAAGTTCATGATGTTTTAAGTAAGTTTACAATTGGGCCATTAGGCTCTCTTCAGGTTCATGAGGTCGTTGGGTCAAAGGTCGCTGGACATTACTTACAAGGCCAAAATGCCTTTTTTATGGACCTTCATAGATAAAGTTCAATAGGAGTAAGGTCCTGGAATATAATACAACATGGTGATTTTATATAGGTCCGTAAGTTCCTGGCAAATCGGTCAAAATCCAAGCTCCCAAATCCACTAGATTTTGAGAAAAAAATATTCTGACAAGTCCCACTGCCTCAGCCTTCCCAGGGAAATCCATCTGTGGTGGATACACTCGAATGCTTAGAAGACTAAATGGCAGTGTTGTTATTTTTAGTTATCTATTAGTTCCTAATATGGCAGATGCTATGCTAAGTCCTGTTAGAATTTATTCATGTAGCTCCCACTACCCTATGCAGTAGATGATGCTCTCTATATTCCAAACAAGGAAATGAGCTCAAAAAGATAAAGGCATAAGGTCTCGGAGCTGCAGAGCAGCAGAGGTGATACCAAGCCCCGCCCTGACTCAAACTCAACTTCCTTTATTTAGTTTCCCTGCCCTGCATGATTTCCTGCCTGCTCCTTCAGGAATTTCTGAGTAAGCCTATCCTCCCATGGCCAAAAAGGACCTGAAACAGAGAACTCACATTCTCTTCCAGCAAGCACATGGCCAGCCCCTGTCAAAACAGGAACGTCCCCAGCCACATTACTTTGGAATATTGCTAATTATTATTCTGTTAACCAGAAGCCTGAATTCTATCTTCCACAAAGTCCCAGAGGCTTCCTTTTATAGACTTAAAAAACAATGTTTGCAGCATCTAAATCACCTAGACCTCACCCCAGGAGCTGCTCAAGCCCTCATGTGATCGGCAGGTTCCTTAGTACAGAGTGCTCTGTGTGCTCTTGATCTGGAGGTTTACCGCCTGGACCAAGCAGAACAAGCACCTCACCCAGCAGGCAGTCCTTGTGGGCTGGTCCTGGCCTGTGTTGTTATTTCTAAGACCAGCAGCAGCTTCACCAGGTCGAGACAATGATTTCTCAGTGAGGAAGGAGAGCCTGAGAGCTGGGAGCAAAGCCAGAAGCCAGCTGAGGACTTTATGATTTCTTTCCAGAGCTTTCCGTTTCTGCATGCAGATACAAGGGGGTCGCCCTTGTGGCCAGAAAGGCAAGCACACAGATGAATTTCACAGAAGCCGAGGAGGCCTGTAAGGTGCTGGGACTAACCCTGGCCAGCAAAGACCAGCTGGAAGTAGCGCAGAAGTCCGGCTTTGAGACTTGCAGGTAAGAAAGAGCTTCACTAAAGCCGATGTTTCTGCTCAGCAGCTGACTTGCTGCCTTCTAACCTCTGTCTATTCAACCCATGTGTATTCTGTATTCTTCTACAGCTATGGGTGGATTGGAGGACGGATCACTGTCATCCCTCGGCTTTTCCCAAACCCCAAGTGTGGGAGGAATGGGAAAGGGGTCCTGATTTGGAAGGTTCCCCTCAGCCAAAAGTTCAGAGCGTATTGTCACAACTCATCTGGTAAGTCACACCTCCAGCCGTTTCATGTGGCACATCTCTGGGTGTCTCAGGATCTGGGGCCTGTCTGGTACTAGCAACCTGAGCAGCAGCAGAAGCAGTAATAGGTCATCTAAATGTCCCGAGACTAGGCTCAGCGGAGCAATGTGCCCCTCAGAGAAAAATGTTAGAGAGGATACTACGACTGAGTGGTAGCATAAGATCAGGGCATTTCCAGAAGCTCTAGGTTATCACCTCCACTGCCTGGGTTTCCTAAAAGATAAACAGGAAGTGGAAAAGAAACAGATGTCTATATGTATGTGATGCATCCCCCTCTGGACAAAGCAATTGTAAGGCTAGCTGTCTCAAAGAACCTTGAACTTCCCCCAAGGAAGCCTTATCCCGTCTTCAAACAAGGAAATGTATCTATGGGGACTTTGGTCCACGTGTCTAATGTTTCTCTGGTAGACATTCCCCATTTCTATGATGAAATAACTGTAGCTGAGAAGTTTATAAAGAAAGGAAGGTTAGCTCACCATTCTGGAGAGTCAAGGTCATGGCCCAGCAACTACTTGACTATGGATAGGGTTTCATGTCATCACAAAGTCAGTACTGTGTAGGAGAAAAAGTGAGCACTCATGTGCTGAGATTGGAAGCCAGAGAGGGATTCGGGAGTATAATGCACTCCCAGCTCCAACCAGGGTCCCAGGAGAGCTCATTGATTTCTTCAGTGCCCTTTATGGACTCCTGCTAGGCTCTGCCCCTTAAAGGTCCCGTCACTTAGCATTGCCACACTGGATTCTAACACATAAGCACTGGGGACACACTTGAGCCACATTCAAAGAAGAGTCTCAATGAAAAGGTTCACAATTGGGTTTAACTCTGACACTTCTTTCCACTGTCCCACACAAGTCACATGCTGCACCTGACATCTTGAAAGTAAGGCCCGATCTCCCTCTTATGAAGGAAGAAGTTGAAACTTAGAGGGTAGGGCTGATTTGCTCATGATTTGCAGTCATCTTGACCATCTTGCCCACAGGCCTTGGTTGCCCTAACCTAATGGCTTTCCTAAGTCTTTTCTCAGAACATTTCCTTCAACTAATACTCAGCTGTTCTCTGTGTCATAAGAAGGCTACTTGACTCATTTCTTTTCACATATACTCATATGTCCGGCTTTCTGAAGGTTAGACAGCAAGTGGTCATGTACACACAGAGAGACATCAATATTAATCGTAAGGTCTGAAAGATAAGAAATGCTCACCAACCATCTTCAGCAAAAATTGAATCCAGAAATTCCAAACAGTTCTCTGGACTAAAGGGCTTTGACATAAGAAGGGCTCCTGCTCCCCACCTTCACCAATAGTTCAGTGTGTGTGTGTGTGTGTGTGTGTGTGTGTGTGTGTGTGTGTGTGTGTGTTGGGGTGGGGATTTAGTGGCAGAGTCAAGACTTCCAGTTAATTCTCCTTCCAACATGATGACTTGTCTCCGTCCTTCTCTGTCCCTCCTGCCTGTCTTAGCTAGAGACCAAGTGATTTGTGTGCCGGCTTATCTATTCCCGGGAGCTGGCCACTATTCCCAGGAGCTGGCCTCTATTCCCTGGAGCTGGCCTCTATTCCCGGGAGCTGGCCTCTATTCCCCGGAGCTGGCCTCTATTCCC